CTTCTGACCTGAAGAAGAGAGGTTCACTCTCGAAAGCTTGTCTTTTATATATTTTGTTAGTCCAATAAAAAAGGTATCATTGCACACTGCAATACTGCATTTTTGTCTTTTTTGACATCTTGTCTACTGGACTAATACGGCTTACCCATTTATATTGCACTATATATATATATATATATATAAACAAATCATACATTAAAACAGGGATGCACAAATCCCAGGAGCCTTGTAGCCAATGCTCCTTAAAAATGATAGCTACCTCCTCTAGTCTAGTCTTGGAGCTGGAAAGGTATCTACTTGTACATGTACCAAGTACGGTACTTGGTATCTGAACATCCCTATTGTCCTGTGATAACCACACTTATTTTACTTCATCATCTCTTGGCAGACATTTCGGTTGAAACCTCCCATGTGCATCACAAAAGAAGATGCTGATTTTGGTGTAGCCGTCCTTGAGGGAGCACTAATTAAACACAAGGAGGCGATTTCAAGATGAAGTGGGAATTGCGAACTCTAGGCCTCAATCAAGGCATCTCAAGTCAGCATTAGCAGTGTTAGCTCACAGCAACCAGATTCAAATCAGCACTGTAAAATAAGAGTTGTGCATTACATTTTTCAATCATATTAGATAATGTGCGGAAATACATTATTTTTTTGTATGTTTTACTTCAAACAAATGAACCTAGCAATAAAGTTTTATTCCTTTTGAAAGTGATATTTTAATTACAGGAGGAGCCAGTGAGATCTCCCTGCCAATATTCTCGATCCTGTTCCTGCCCACTGTTGTGTGTTCTCTAGTTGTGTTTCTGATAAAAAATAAATAAATAATTCAGTGGAATTATTTGGGGTGGAGGAACTTGACTGGCCTGCACAGAGTCCTGACCAAAAGCCAGGCCTTCTCGTCCAACATCAGTATCTGACCTCACAAATGCGCTTCTTGAAGAATGGTCAAACATTCCCATAGACACACTGCTAAACCTTGTGGACGCCTTCCCAGAAGAGTTGAAGCTGTTGTAGCTGCAAAAGGCGGGCCAACTCAGTATTGAGCCCTACCGACTAAGACAGGGATGTCATGAAAGTTCATGTGCATGTAAAGGCCGCGTCCCAATACTTTTGATAATATAGTGTACTTTCTCTATTATCCAGAAGGACATTTTTGCCTTGTTGTAAACTGAGCTTATTGAGCTTGCTGGGGGCTATGGTATTTCGTACCTTTTAGAAAATGATCTTGGGTATGTTTGGCAGAAACGATCCAAATTTGGGGTCTCGTAGTAGGAGAGGCCAGTTTTTTTTTTTTTTGTATAGCATGCCCTTTGGCTTCGTAGCTGCGGTTAAATTGGTTGATAAAATGGACATTATTGGAATCTCTGTATGGGGATTTATCTTTTTTTGCTCGGGGTGGCTACAAGAAAATTGGAGAAGGCTTCCTTGATGGTGTTTGTCAAATACCCTTTTTCATGGAACTTATTGCGGAGTTGAGTGCGAAGTACGATATAATCTTCCTTTTCCGTGCAATTTATCCTAAGCCTGCAGAATTGTCCCTTTAGGAGGTTCGTTTTCCATAATGGGTGATGGCAACTACAAGAATGCAGGCTTGTGAGCTTGAAATGGTTTTATGGTGATGATACGATTGCCCTTGCGGGAAAGTTCCAGATCTAGGAAAACTAGATGGTCTGAGTCAATGACATGGGTGAAAGACCAGATGTGTTACTATTGCAATGACTCACAAATTCTTGGATTGTTTCTGATGGGCCGTCCCAAATGATCAAAAGGTCATTAATATAGCAGTCATAAAAAAAATCAGATGTTGAAAATGTGAGTTATTGTTCCAGAGATATTGATTTTCCCCGTGTCCCATCATAACACCCCATTCACACTGAGCTACCACAAAATAAGTGCTTTTTCCGCGCTGATTGAGATTGAGCTACGGTGCACATTTTGACGCACTACGTAGCACTTCTTTGGGCAGTCTATCAGAGCCTTTTGGGGCCAAATAGCTTGAAATCCGCTGAAAAATAGCTCATGTGCGAGCGACAGGCTTCAGCTACAAACAACATTGAGCTGCAAGATGCGAACATCTCCATTGAAATGCATTGAGAGAGCTACATTGAGCTTCATATTTGAGCGATTTTTGAGTGGAAATCGCACTATAAAACGCTGTGTGAATGGCGTCATTAGCAGCACACCCAGCGTCATCAGCAGCACACCCAGGGTCATCAGCAGCACACCCAGCGTCATTAGCAGCACACCCAGCGTCATCAGCAGCACCCTGAATTCCATCATCGTTATTTTGGACCTTTCTCAAACCAGACCCCTCAGCATGCTACTGCGCTTGTGGTTTCTGTATCTTTGATTTTTACTGTTAGTCTAGGCCAGTGGTGGCGAACCTTGGCACTCCAGCTGTGCCAAAATCCCAACATGCATCTGCCTCTGGGAGTTATGTCTGTCAGAGCCTTGCAATGCCTCATGGGACTTGTAGTTCCAAAACAGCTGGAGTGCCAAGGATCGCCAACACTGGCCTAGGCAAATCATGTAAAAGTCTCATGGTGGGGAATAGCCCACTGCAGATGGAAGTTTGTTCATTGCCCCTGATTTTAGCTTTAAATTAGCTAAATACATTTCAGGTTCATCAAAACAAAAGGCATGCGATGCCCAACAGCATTTTTTCCCCCCTTTAGGAAGCAGTAACATCATAAATAGAAAAGCTTGTGTATGGAAGCAGTGGTCTTTCTGCAGAGGTCCTACACTTCCCTGCTGATTCAGGGATCATGCTCCCTCCTGGTTAAAGAGTTTCAGCTCCAACTCAGCAGGGGCTGTCAGACCTCTACAGAGAGGCCACTGCTTACACACAGGGCACAAGAAACCTTCTCTACAGCATGCTGGCAGGAGACCGGCTTTTCTAGTCGGCCAATTAGCTGCTTTCTGAAGAAAATGAACTGGAAGGCTGGCCAGACACTTCAATCCACGAGCTAAATGGAAAAAATAAAATAGACCCGATTCCTCCATAACAGAGTGTGGATCGAGGGATCCCACTGTTTACATTGTATTCTGACAGGTGGCCGCTGTCAGAATACCTGAGCAGAACGGGCAGCTCATTGGCTGCCACCTCTGATCAATCAAAGATTTTCTCACCGGCTCCTTCGATCAGCTGATCAAGGGATGCCAATGGAAAGGATGCCGACAGCCCCACACACTGTGCAAATTTTAGCCAGTTACTCAAAAAGCAGCCAAAAATTTGAACAGTGTATGGGCACCTTTAGACTAAAGACAGGAAGGGATATTTGTGAAGCAAATTAATGACGCATGTAGACGCAAATCAGTCTCTCATTTAGCAGTGTATGCGATTGTTTTTCTATGAACCCCTGCACTGGTAATACTGGGCAGCAAACTGTAAGACCCCATTCACACTGAGCTACAACAAAATAAGCACTGATTTCAGCAAAGCGACTGAGCGACATTGAGCTACAGTGCACATTTTTTCGCGCTACGTAGCGCTTCTTTTGGCAGTCTATTGGGGCCAAAACGCTAGAAATCCGCTGAAAAACAGCTCATGTTTGAGAGACAAGCTTCAGCTACAGGTGACATTGAGCTGCAAGATGTGAACATCTCCTTGGAAATGCATTGGAAGAGCGGCACTGAGCTTCATATTTGAGTGATTTTTGAGCTCAGTGTGTGTGAAAGAATTGCACAGAGCTGCGCCAGATCTTCACTCAAAACAGATGCACAATTAGAGAGTGGTCAGGGTCCGGTTTTATTCTGGCACAGTGCTGTTTTATAGTAGATGAGGGGGAATTTATCAACTAAACTGCCTAATTGTAAGACGTCTGTCTTCAGAGCTCCCTTATAGCATTGCCTGACTGGGTGACAGAATGAATACATGTCCCCTTTTGTTTTGATTCACCTGGAATTTATTTAGCCGATTTAACACATATTAAAAAGCATGAGAAGCACGGACGTGTGAATGGGCCCCAACATTTCAGCATTTGAGTTCCAGGCTCCAAAAGCAGAGCATACATTCATATGTACACATTCTCATACAAGGACAAAGTGAACATGTATGTTACATTAAGCTCAATTCACAGAGATAACACCTCAGGATCCCCATTATAAAACCATCATTTTTAGCCGAGTTAAATTAGATTTTAAAATTACAGTCACGTCGCTTAAAATAAAGATCCTTCTCCTTGTGCTAACGCTTTGTGAATTCTTATAGCACAATGCAAACATAGTAAATCACCACTGATTATTCAGAGCTTCAATTATGTGCAACATCATGTGTCTTATCAGAGGTCAACATTTGGAATATCCATTGAAACTGAAAATCCCCTTTAACTTGTAAATAGAAGCAACGCAGACAACAGCCCAATACGATTTTCAGGGTCCATGTGACTTGTGTAAAGTGACCCTGTCAGCCTTTTCTAAGCCACAAATCAACAAGGTGAGCACTATTAAAGTGAACAGCCTTGTCTCTGTGCCTGGGGAGTTCTGAGTGCACTCTGTAACCACATGATGACTTGTCAGAGTTTGTAGCCAATTTCCACACCCATTAGCCCACTTTCCACTCCAGTGGCCAATAATAGGGATTTCTTTGCATTGCGGGACATTAACTAGGCATGGCCCAACTGTGGATGCAGAGCTCATTTCTCAAGTCAGAGACATCAAGCCACTAGTTCCAGATTAGGTACAGTGTTCCACAGCCAAGGTTGACACAGGTAACAGGCCAGCCCTTAGGCAAGGCTTTTAGTTTTAATATTAGAAAGGCGGATAGATTTGCTTTACATTTGACCTGACATGAATATAGAAGATGCCTTTGCTGATGACCTACAGTTAATAAAAGCAGAGCCGACAGCTCTATTACATTTGGGAACCTGTACTGTATCCTTCATGCTCCCCTCTTGGTGTTCCTTATACTTACCATGCTGCAGAGCCATTCCCCAGGCTCCCCTTCTTCCAGGTCTCTTGTCTTGCCATAATCCCAAGCTTCACCTTCCTCATGCACTTCTGTCGGTTCCTGTAACTTTCCATAAACCCATCACTACTGTATCATGCCAGTCTGCTCTTCACTATCCTGGCCTGCTGCCTCGCACTATCCATTTCTCACTGATGTACCCAATTCTTGTCCCAGTGACACCCAAACAAGCTAGTGTTTATAAAAGGTGCACATTATAGGGCTATCATCCTTATCCTTGACTGATCATGTAGAGATATATCACCCTGAACAAGTATGCCGGTCAGATGTCCCCCATACTTTCTAGGCTGGATAACTGTTCCAGGTCAGTGACACAAGGTTAGTGATGACAGCCCAGCAAGCTCCACATTCAAAGTTAAGTCAGCAAAGCCACCTCTCAGTTTTCTTCTCACAAGTTCACTTTGAAACTCACTGTTTAAAGTCGACCCGGATTAAAAAAGTGAAAATGGTCTATAAAGATGATTTTGTTTGTGTCTAAGCAGCACCCTGAAAAACTCAGCTTTTGTCTAGTACTCCTCCTTTAAAAAAAAAACAAAAAAAAAACAGCAGTGCACTTGCTGTCCCTGTGTGCTCCTGTGCCTCATATCTGTATATTAGCAGAGAGATCTTAGGCATTGCCGCCTCTTACTGTTAGTCTCAGAAGATTTAGAATGAGATTTGTTGATTCATCCCCCACACAGCTACCGCCTCATGTATCACTTCCCCCTCCCCTTTAGATTGTAAGCCCTCAGGGGCAGGGCCCCCCCTACCATCTTGTCTTGAATTGTATTGCGATTGTAATGTCTTCCCTATATTGTAAAGCGCTGTGCAAACTGATGGCGCTATATAAATCCTCTATAATAATAATAATGTCATTACTGTGCTGGTTAATGTCCTCTCTGCTGGAAAGGAAGCCATACCTACAGACAATCCTCTCACTGCTTCATTCATTCTATGGATCTGTACTTGATTAACCTCTCCTGCTGCTTCTTGATTATTCCTCCACCAGTCACTATAGTGGTAGCTCTGACATGAGAAAACAAAGCTCTGCCTCTACTAAGATGGTCATCTTCACACATAGACACAGTGCTGAACAAGGCATGGTCAGTTAGTAATGGGGGAAAGAGCAGCTGCAGGGAGAACCCAGGCAATACAGGTAACTAGTGTTTTGTAATTTTTGGGAGCATAACTTCTACAGTTCCAATGCTCTTTAGGCATTTAGTGGTAAAAACACAACAAATGTTCAGTGATATATTTCCATGGAGTCGTCATTTACAACCTTGCACAGAATTTCCCACTTGTCACCTTCTGTCTATAAATAAAATAGAATTCATTTTTCCCTGGTATTCGGTTTCTTCCTGAGACATTTGTCATATAGGGGGATCTGTCCGGTGAGTGTTGGGAGTAGTGATAAAGGGGGAGCTGTCCTTTAGGTCCCATGGTACAGTTCTTCTATACCTGTCCTGGATACAGAGAGAAAACACATTTTTATCACTACTCCCAACACTAACCGGACAGATCCCCCTTTATCACTACTCCCAACACTCACCGGACATATCCCCGTTATCACTACTCCCAACACTAACCGGACAGATCCCCCTTTATCACTACTCCCAACACTCACCGGACAGATCCCCCTTTATCACTACTCCCAACACTCACCGGACAGATCAGCCAATCCCCCTTTATCACTACTCCCAACACTAACCGGACAGATCCCCCTTTATCACTACTCCCAACACTAACCGGACAGATCCCCCTTTATCACTACTCCCAACACTAACCGGACAGATCCCCCTTTATCACTACTCCCAACACTCATCCCACATACCCACTTCACTAAACAGCGAAATCCTAATTGGAACCACACAACAGGGAATTGCAGAAAGCCAAGTTTACAATGTCCAGAGTGCCAAGTGACGGCACAGTATTTCTTTGCTCTGAAGGATTCTACGAAATCTTATACATGTGCCACATCTGACTATCAAAAAAAACGAATTTATCCCAGCACATGTACTAAGCAAAAAGGAAAAGGCCAAAAACTTGTCTATGCAGATACTAATGGAAGTGCCAGAGGAGAACACTGTGCCAGGTACACTAAACACAGCAGCTTAATCCTTTCATGAACAAAGGTCACTGCAGTTTAGAAGCTCTGAAAACATTGTTATATACTGCTTTAATAAAAACCTGGCAAATGGAACACTTTTTTTAAAAAAATGTGATTAATTTTAATACTGTAATTATGAATGACAATAACAGTATTAGATAAAAGGCACACAAACCATCTTCAAGCTAAAGAGGCCACTGCTGGCTAATGGTGTTTTTTTTTTTTTTAAACTTCCAGCTGGCATCTGATCGGGTAGTCAATGATCAGGAGCCCTACAGAGTGGATGCCAATCATTAGTAGAGACCTCCACTTGTGAGTGCTCCTATCTATGATATTAAAAATGTAGAACCACCATCTCTCAACAAGGAAACCCACGGTTAGCCTACAGACTGCAGATGCCAAGTAATTCATCTCAGCTTATTGCAAATGTCTGGTATGTGGTTCCATCCTATAATTTGCTCTGTAGTGAGGTGGGGTTACACTAGTATGAACATTTAGCCTTTAAAGGTGAATGAACCGCAGAGGCTGTGATACACAACTTGAAGAGCTGTAGAAGGATCTGTCCATTATTATTATTATTATACAGGATTTATATAGCGCCAACAGTTTGCACAGAGCTTTACAATATAGGGCAGGTATTATAATCACAATACAATTCAAGACAAGATGGTAAGAAGGGCATAGTCCATGTCACTATATAAGCGATACTTGGACCTGTAGAAGGATGAATATGAAAAAAGGTTTACAGTGTTATGTTTGTATAAGCAGGTATGAAGCTGAGAGTTTTGCAGGGCCATGGACAGCTGTAGTCCAAATTGGACTGCTTCTAATGGCTTAGCAGGCAATCCCCTCAGTGGACGCTCACCAGTACTAAAATAAATAGGGGACGGCGTGTGTATCTCCAGCAGTAGCCCAGACTGTAGCGAGTGGGACATCCTGGATGCAGTTTGCTCCTTTGGCACAGCCTGCCGGTCCGTTATCCCAGCTCAGTCCAAACACAAAAAGGTCATTTATTTTTCCGTTTCTCTTTTTTAGACTTAGAGGCTGGCATGTTTGCTGGAGGGTTACCAGTGGCCAGTGCGTGACCCGTGGACTTTAGGTGACTGAACAGTTTATTCCGTGTTGAAAACTCAGAGGAGCAGGTGTTGCATCGCATGGGGGCATTAGACTGGAAGATGGGGAAAAGAAGAAAAATCATTACAAGATGCAGGAAGAGTCACCCGATATACAAGACAAGTCAACATTCAAGCTGGCTAAAATGTACATGAGGGTAATGTGCCTGGCCTTATGCTTGGTGCGGTGCTGTGCCTGGCCTCATCATTGGCGCTGCGCCTGGCCTCATCATTAATGCTCTGCCTGACCTTATGCTTGGTGCTCTGCCTGGCCTTATTCTTGGTGCTGTGAATTATAAGCGTAACTTTCTTTTCTATATATGTACTGATTGATTTTATTTTTAAAGGAAAAAAGGAACAAATAGTTTAAAAGCAGCTCTAGGAGGGCAGCTTCTCTGAATAGCTGTTGTCTACCATTATGCAGAAATAAAAACAGCATACACAACTGCATTTATATGAATGTGCGGCTGTCATTCTTCAAATGGATGGTTGTGATCCAATATAGACTGTCTGTTCAAAAAGTTTGTTTACAGTGTTTAATAGGATCATTCATTATAACAACACATATTGAAAGTGACACAAAATTCAGGCATTAAATCTTAAAAATATATTCAAGTACCTTAACTATTGACAAGAATGAATCTTGTGCATCACTCGGCTGTAGATCCTCAAATCATCTCTGAATTGGTGCGGACACTGTCCTTCCTTCTGGAGGGGGGCTACTTTTGTTCCCCATGGTCCCTGTGTGCTGTAAAGTAGTCACCGCTCCAAGCTCGCTCCCGTGATGGACTACAATCTCATGTTTAGTTTACTAATTTGTATTGCGATTGTAGTCCATCACGGGAGCGGGCTTGGAGCGGTGGCTACTTTACAACACACACAGGGACAATGGGGAACAAAAGTAGCCACCCTCCAGAAGGAAGGACAGTGTCAGCACCAATTCAGAGATGATTTGAGGATCTACAGCCGAGTGATACACAAATAAGATACATTTTTGCTAATAGTTAGGGTACTTAGATGCATTTTTAAGATTTATTTCCAGAGTTTAGGGTCACTTTAAGGAGGGGGCTGTGGGAAGATTCTAATTACTGTGTCTGTACCGTGTCAGCAGATCTGATCAGCTGTAAACTAGATCTCAACACTATTTGTCCTAACAAAGGGTTACAGATCTGGAAGGATTATATGTTAATGAGAGGAAGCTCAGTCTATCTTTCTTTTTTTCTATTTTATAATAGCTTGCAATCTGCCCAAAGACCTCTTCCAAAGAAACAGCTAAAAAGGTCTATACGTATTTTTTAAATGGTTTAGGTATGCTGTGTGAATAAGAACACATAATTACCTGTTCTTCGTTTTCTTGTGCGGCTGCCATTTTGGTGGCTTTCTTCATTTCTTTTGCTTTCTTTCCCTTTACTTTAGTTGCTCTGTAACACAGAAATCAGACCTGAGCTCATATACAGCCCAATTATAGGAGTACTTGGAGATGAACCATTGGGGCAACTTACGGTTTTTCTTCGCTCGTCATTTCAGGACCAGTCATGGTTTCTGTATCTTGGATGTCAACTTGGATGTCGTCTTGAGGCTCTAGATCATTGTTCAGGACTGTGTCCTCCACTTTAGGTTGTATCGTCTCACTTTTTAGACTGCTCTCCATGTCATTTTGTATCGGCGTCTCGTCGTCAGACACCTACAGCAAAAAATAAATAAAATCCATTGAGAACAGACTGCTACACAAGGTTCCAATGATTTTGTTTTACCCAGGATTCACACATTTTCCAAAGGAATACAATTAGAAGTGAATCTTGGGTGGAAACATTTATTGTTAGACCCCCTAAGAAATCTATTTTTTTATGTTTTAGCTAAAGATTCACACCTTTTTCAATTAGAATGTAAGGTGAAAAATGTGTGAATCTTGGTAACATAAAAGTGTAACACTTACAGATATTTGTGATTTACCATAGTACTCCCCCCCGACGGTGCATTTATCTTTATTTCTCCCCAGAAGAACAGCACCATCTTTGATCAGGCATTATCCAGAGCTGGCTTAGGCTGAGATGCCGGCCCAGAGATGACACAGTTATGCAATTCCCAGGCCCTGCACAGCAGTAAAATAGAAGTAAAGCCAAACCTTTTTTTTTTGCCTTTACTTCTCTTTTGTGTCACTGAAGTATATTAACTAATGTCCTCCTGTGACCCTAAGTCAGCATATAGCGGGCTACTGCCCACTATATACTGACAGCGCAGAGCCATGCTGTAGCCGGGTAGGATCCTGACAATATTGTCGGGATCCACCCCATTGCCTCATTGACAGCTGGCTCTGACTTTCTAGAGCTAGAGCCAGCCGTGCCCATCCTGTCCCTCCAATGAGCGTTGGGAGGAACAGAGACGGGAGGGTAGTCCCTGTGATAGGTGGCGATTGACAGTCACTGATCTCTGCAGGGAGAAGCTGTGAGCTGAGCAATCGGTGGTTACATGATCACTCAGCTCTTGGTAAATAGAGAAAGCTTGGGACATTGCAGCTATCACATGTCAGTTCTTATTTTACTCTCCCAATACTTCTCCTTCTATGATACTGGGGTGATATACAGTGATATGTCCAAAATGTGTTCAGGAATCCTGGGCAATATACAGTTGTGTGAAAAAGTACACTTGGCTGCTACTTAGCCTCTTAATTCCTATGGAAGCAGTAAGAGTGTACATAGTTTTTGTTTTTTACACCTACCTCCATTGTGGCCCATTGTGGTTGTGCGTTTGTTAAAAGAAATAATAACAGTGTAATATGTTATGTGTCGTTGTTCATCTGAGGTTGTATTTATCTAATCTTAAGACCTGCTAAGGACAAGATCATTCTTATTATGTCTGGATATGTAAAACCATAGAATTTAAAGAGTTTGTACTTTCTTTTTCACACAACTGCGATATGCCCACTGCCATTACTGCCAAGGGATACATTAGGATGCATTTCCGTCCGGAAGAAATCTGGTCTGGAGATGATCTGGATGTGGTGTGAATGGGCCCATAAGGAAACGAGTCAAATGAATATCTCACCTAAACGCCCCTACAGAGAAAACATGCAACCAAAGATCTCGAAGATCACATAGTTGCTCCACATTATCCACTAGTCTATTCATTGCATTGTACCTTCTCAATCACAGCAATTATGCTTGTATGACATTTGACGTCGAATGACATGTGGTTCTTATAACACTTACCTTACAGACTTTCTGTTTTTTCTTTTTTTGCTTTTTGCTTGATCTAAAGGAAGAATACAAAATGTACCAAGTTGCAAACAAGCACCACTTGAAGGAAAGTCTATGGTGAGAATAATATGTAGCTTGCTATGGCTGATTTATTTCTAAAAAATTAGTTTTATATATGCAAACTCGGCCCTTACTACACTATCAGACAAACTCAATGCCATCAGTTGCTGCACATAATAGAAATATTTCTGGCCAAGATGTCATGCTGGCCCTCTGGCTTCAAAGCTCTTCAGTCACTTACCCCAAACAACAAAAAGTTGTGCAGCAAATACTTGCTCTGGCTCAGATGCTACTACTACTGAAGCTAGATGATTGGTATGAAAGCCAGGCAGCAGGAGTTTTCATAAGGTCATCAATTGCAGCCTAAATACAGCCAAACTTCTGTTGCGACAATGATAGCTTACCTTTAAAGTGAATATGTGCTTTGGCTATGCAGGGGGAAAGGTACAGGTACACGTTAAAGCTTGACAGCATCACATATTCCATCCAACCAATGGAAGCGAGCGATGAAAGCTCTGTGTACTGTAAGTTCTAGTCAGATCTCAATTGGCAGTGCAGAGCCAAGTACGGTAAGAGTAAAGGGAGTGTCACATGGTCTTCCATACCCGGACATACAAGGTATTTTCTTCAGGGTGTGTTTACTGATGGTCTATTGGTTTATGCCTGCCCTGACAGTAGTTTTATCAGGTCACCTTTCTGGTTCAGCTTTGTGCTTTTCTATATGACCTCTCTGAAAAAAGAAAACTAATGCAGCAACCACATTTAAAGAAGCTCGCGGTATACTGAGACGCCGCAGCCAGAACGGATCACGACAATTATGTCTGGATCCACCCAGCTGCGTGAGTGACAGCTGGCTCTGCCTATATAGAGGCAGTGCAAGCTGTACCCGCCCCCTGCCCGTCCGCTCCGCCAGTCAGCGCTAGAGGATCGGAGCAGGGAGGGGGGAATCCAGTCCCTCCCATCACGGCTTTCTGCCGGCACAGGATCGAGAAGTGAGCGAGCGCCTGTATGTGTTCGCTCATTTCCCGATCAACTGAGCCGACCTGTGACAGTTTCATTGTCACAGGTCGGCTCAGATTATCAAGGGTGTCTATTGTCTTATTATAATGTGACTATAGGTGTTCTCCCATGTCAGAATGTTGGGAGGTATGAACAGAGGGGCTTCTATTGCTCACAAAAAGCAACAATGGCAGCTGCTCACATCAGTTTAAAACCAGAAAAAAAAAAGGAGAAAGCTGCACACGGGCAGGCCACAATACAAAACAGTTCTAAAGGGGTCCCCGGCATAGTTTTAAGTTAGCCAGCAAAAATAAAAAGCTAACAGTACGGTCTCAACAACTCGGGGTAAAAACTTCAACACTTTGTAAGTCAATGAGAAGCATTCAAATAAGCAGTTCTGCCTTCCTTCTGACTTTTGTTAGCAGCACGCTAGTTTCAGCTCAGTGATTTAGAAAGAACCATACATATCAGAGTTGCCTTGTATGTGACAACGTGGCTTCAACTTGTATTTACAAATGCATGAAAGATAAAAAAATAAATAAAAATTGCTGTTTTTAGACTAAGATACCGGCCAGGCAACTAGCATTGTTAAAATGAGAATTCAGCAATGGCAGCCTGTGTATGTTCTCAGGGAAGTTTAGGGACGAACAGAGGGATGTGTGTGCTTACTTTGGTTTTAGGGTCTCTTCAGGTTCCTGATCTTCAGATGGTATCTCCTCTTCTTCTCCCTCCACGACAGAGATGTCCTCCCTGACAGAAGCATTGTACTCTTTCTCTTCAGCTTCCAGCTGCTGACGAAGGAGAGCCACCATCTCCCGATGCTTCTTGGACTTATCGTGATTCTTCATCCTGATTTACAACAGCAATACGATGGTCAAAAGTAGAAGCTGTTCAGACCACGGCACACATAAGCAAGGCGCACATACAGACCACGGCACACATAAGCAGGGCACGGCACACATAAACAGGGCGCACATTCAGACCACGGCACACATAAGCAGGGCGGACATTCAGACCACGGCACACATAAGCAGGGTGGACATTCAGACCACGGCACACATAAGCAGGGCACGGCACACATAAGCAGGGCACACATACAGACCACGGCACACATAAGCAGGGCGCACATTCAGACCACGGCACACATAAGCAGGGCGCACATTCAGACCATGGCACACATAAGCAGGGCGCACATTCAGACCACGGACCTTCAGACCACGGCACACATAAGCAGGGCGCACATTCAGACCACACCACAGGTAAAAGGCAGTAGGCAACAGAAAGGTAAACTGGATAAAGAGACAAAATACTGCAATAGAGGAAAATGAAAGGAAACAAAGCATTAAGCCCTGGATTAGCACAGAGCAGCAAAGGTAGGCCCAAGACATGTGGCAGAACATGGTCACAATCTATAAAAAGTCTGGAATTTTTACTGAGCCTCGTAAAGAAGAACAGGTTTGTGTGTTTCAGAGCAAGGAACCACTACCCAGGTTAAAGTTTCATGAAACCCTAATTAGTAAACATATATAAAGTCTCGTATATCCATCTCTACTGTGCCTTCTACCTGCAGGCTTTCTTTCTAACCAGATCTTTCAATGTATTGTGGATGAACCGTGTACCGGGCCCCTTCTGCATACGCATATTTTTCCGCAATGCACTGCAACCCACCTCAAAACAGCATTTCAATATGAACAGTGCACACAGAGAACCACTGTATTCTGTATGCACTGGGGGTGACCGGTGTTGTTCATGTGCAGAAAAATGCAAGTCACTGCATATAATGTAATCTAGATTGACTGAGCTGCTTTGCAGTGCCACCGTGAAGTGCGCCCTACCGGGCTGGACTACAGGTGAATGTGTTGGTGCTCTGTGTGCGGATACGTCACCAAAGCCCTTCAGCACAAGCCACTCCTGGTTCCTCTTACAAGCTCTACGGATGACTGCATCCTCAAGGATCCTCCAAAGCCAGCATTGTAAACTGTAATGACAATGATATGCCAAGTACGTGACCCCTGACTGGAAGGTAAGAAAAATCACCGCAGGGAGGAAACTACCAACTAAATATGGAAATTTGAAAGGCAAAGTGAAGTCTTTGATTGCTTGGTTATTTAGCAGCATTTCCCTCAAAGAATGTGAGAGCATAATACCATATACAGTAACAAGTACAACTAAAGACCGTTTGTTAGTTACGCCTATTTATTGTCCTAAATAAATAAGGAATGTACGGATACCAGTATCTCCATCAGTGTCGATACCAAGTATTTGGGTGAGTGCTCGTATTTGCCCAAATGCACGATGCCTACCCTGATACCGGAACTTCCGGTATCAAGAAGCCGGGTGGCGAGTCATTACACTGTCCTGATTGGCCCGGGAAGCCGGCTCCATGCTCCCTGGTCACTAGGTGATAAGGAAGCATAGAGGCAGCTTCCCGGCAAATCAGGAAACCGGGCGTCGTGTAATGACTCGCCACCCGGTTTCCTGATTGGTCGGGAAGCTGGCCAATCAGGAAGCCGGACGGCAAGTTATTACACGTCACCTGGCTTCCTTAATGGGACTTCTGGTATCGGTGAGGTCCGAAGAAAGGACCGGTACTCAATACAAAAAAACTAACATATCGGTGTATCCCTAATATAAATAATATCTTATTATTAGCTTTATAATTAGCCGTGTTGTTCACCGATTATGGTGGAGGAATCTATGCTAGGGCTAGACATGGCCAGAAATTGATTGACAAGCTAAGGGTTTGTAAATAAGCCATAAATGCACTGATAAGATATGGCCCCTGTGATATCACTGCGTCGCACAATAACTCAATCAGGCACAGTGAACCAAAGGGTGACAACACTGACCTGAATTGGAAAGCACTGGTAAGCATTCTTATCCTAGTAAAGGAAGCACTGGAGGAGCCAATTGCCTGGCAGGAGCAAAGGTAAATTTGGCACAGTGTTTACATATAAAAGTAGTGCAGCCCCCCTATAATTAAGCCCTATTAGCACGCTAAACGCATCAGTGGAAGGGTTTGGGTGGACTGTCCATCACTGTAAGCAGTTTTGGTATGCAAGGAATCAGTTGTGGGCGGCTTCACTACTTTTGTAAATAAACAGTGTGGAGGAGTGAATGGACACAGAGGGTGGCCGGCACCCGTGGCTGTAGGGAGAGAGGCACAGGGTGGTTTCAATATGGGAGTATATGTGCGTATATACATTCTTGCCCACTGAACGCACCAATTCCCATTGCATGATGGGCATTGCAGTTTTTTTTACAGCAGGACCGAACTGTAAAAGAAGTGATGTCTGTGCTTCCTCCTCACACTGCCTGGACATAACTGCTTTTCTCCTGTATCTGGCGTTGATATCACAGACATTGGTTAGATAGTCAGACTCACGCTTTATCGGTCTTGAAGGCCTTGTCACAAGCAGGGCAGTAGAGGTCATCGTAGAATTCCTCCTCTTCATCTCCTTCATCGCTGGCTTTGCCTGATCAGAGAACAAATTCGCTGTGACGTTGCAGTTTACTTCATATCTATCTATCTCATTCAACTAATGGTGGCCTTACACACTACACTCTGATTTGTACAATCTCTATTATATTTACCAAAACTGTAAGATGAGGACAAACCTAAACAATCCACCTTCAATTTTTTAAATGTTGGTCGATCTAAAGAAGATCAGATTGTTTAGTTTATGGTCAGCGCAAGTCTGACAGCTAAAAGTAGTTACATGAAGATTATAGGAAGACAAAAACCATTCAAGTAATAGGTCACAGCAAGCAATCAGTGTGATTACCCTCCGATAGAAGCTGCACACATTTATGGAGCAGTGAAACCTAACAGATTCACTGAACCTCTGCCTTAAAATGGAACATGGCACAGCTAAGGGACTAGCCGCTTCCAACAGAGCCGAATCATTTTTTTTCTGTTCCATTTAAAGTAAACAGGACACAAAACTACATCCAAAATTCCCCAGTTCCAGATAGAGTGAGAAGTAGTTACTCTGGAGAGATTTCCTCTCACTTCCTGTTGTGCTTCTGGGACAGGAAGTAAAAGAAGATCTCCCCAAATGGGACAAAGCCATAAAAAACAGACTGGAAAAGTCTGTGAAGGTTCTCATTCATCCAGGTCATGGTATATCTATAAAAATAAGTCAAGGCAACTGGGCTTTCTGTGTTTTTTTCTTGAAGACGTTTCACTGGTCAACCAGCTTTCTCAATTCAGAATGACTTGCACAAAAATTATCTGGGGGGTGAGACTTCTATTGTCTGCCACATAAAATGCTGTTCTAACACCTCTCTGGGCAGATTAATAACACCTCCTAGACTCCAATTATGTAAATGCATACAACACGTGTCACCTTGGCCTTTGTATATCACATGGGACACAAATCTAATGTGATAAACTTTATACTGGTCTTGGAGATATCACAACATATAAATAAGTTGCCTGACACATGTGAAACTTTCCCAAACTGAACACATTGAGATGTTAAAAGCTTCTCCTATGAGCGAGATCTCCCATCCCCTTTATTATGATTATCACAGTGTTACTCTCTAACCATTCTGCTGTTCGTCTGCCTCCTCTTCATAATCCTCCGTCCCATCTCCAAACTCCTTGTCATACTGAGCCTCCATCTGCTGCAGCTCTTTCTCCAGCTCAGACATGGCCATCCAGCTCTGCTCCTTGTACTGATCTGCCAGCCTGTGGGAAGTGAAAAGCAAAACTTAATGCCGTACCAAGACAAGACAACACAGAAGGTTTTAAAAGATAGTAAAGCATAAAAAAACAAATAAGGGTGCATCCAAGCGGCTGCAGAGACTACAGTTGGGTATACAGGTTTCTATTTTTGGCTGGGTTAGTGGGTGGGTACCCCTACTGCAAGGGTTAAAATACTGGATTTCTGCTTTAAAGGAGAACTATGGGGTTAAGGCTTTTCCCCATAGTTCTCCTTAGGGTAACAGGAGGACACAAACTAGCGTCCTCCCATCACCCTAGGCTGCTGCTCGCGGTATACTGAGGCGCCGCAGCCGGAGCGGATCCCGACGTAGATGACGGGATCCGCCCAGCTGCGTGACTGACAGCTGGCTCTGCCTATCTAGAGGCAGAGCCAGCTGTACCCGCCCCCTCCCGTCCGTTACGCCAGTCAGCGCTGGCGGATCGGAGCAGGGAGGGGGGAATACAGCCCCTCCCCTGTCACGGCAGAGAGCCGTGACAGGATCGAGAAGTGAGCGAACACCGGCATGTGTTCGCTCACCTCCCGATCTACTAAGCTGACCTGTGACAGTCTCATTGTCACAGGTCAGCTAGAACTATGAGGTGAGTGAAAAGCACTCACCTTATAGTTCTCCTTTAAATTGCTCCCCAGAAGGGCTATTCCAGGACTAAAATATGTCCCCAGTCTTCTGGGTTGAATGACAAGTCATCCTGTGAGAGCAGGGCATCATAGACCCCACCCCCTGAGGAGGTGTCACTGCTATGCCTTTAACTAGAGGGCATCAATACACTTTTGTCATCAGATCAGCACTGCTCTCTGCATCAGTGGACCGCCATAAATGTCAGAAAAGTGGCAGAACTCCTTATGTCTACACTTGTTCAAGGTCAGCTTCTCGGACAGCGCTGAAGCCAAAACATTAGAATATCAGCCAGGAAAATAGCATTCTCAAAAAGTAGAGCTTAGCTAGCCTCTGTTATTCCGTCATGCCAACACTCATCCTCTATAAAGTCCCTTCCACCCCTCCTGTATAAAAAGTGCCAAGCTTCATTTACCATCTTCAGGTTCCAGCGATGTCCGTAGCTTCCAGTCCAGCTCTGGAGGTCCTTTCCAGGACACCATCATTTTGCCATTTCCTCTGAGCCAGTCTGTTTACATGCTACCCTAGGGGGCATGTCATCACACCGGCTGGGCTCACAGTAACTCCAGGACTGAATGCCGCTCACTCCTGCAAAATGTTACATTGTACCAAATTTGGGTGAAAAGCATTTGTCTTTGACAAGTGTAAAGGTGCCCATACGCTTTGCGATTATCGTTCGAAAAACGAACGTGATCGGGTTTTCGTACCATAAAATCGGCCAGTTGATGGGAAGTGAATGATCATAAATACTGTACAACTGTGCGAATTTCCTCGATCGGTCAGGCTGGAAAACGTTTTTAGAATCGTACAAAATTAGATGGATTAGTGGTGTTTCACTGAGACCCCACTCACACTGAGCGATTTGTAGCGCGATTTCAGCTCAAAAATCGCTCAAACATCAGCTCAATGTAGCATGTCCAATGCATTTCAATGGAGCTGTTCACATTTCACAGCTCAATGTCGCCTGTAGCTTAAGCTTGTCGCTTGAACATGACCTATTTTTCGGTGGATTTCATTCCATTTGGCCCAATAGACTTCAATGGAGTAGCTCAATGTCGCACGAATTTGCGAGACATTGTCGCGCTACAGAAGTGTCAATTTTGCACAGAAATATAAGCAAGAAACAGGAAGAGGAATTATGTCACATCAAGACCGCTTTTGATTGGATACAGCCCAATGTAGCAGCTATGAAGTCCATACCAAAAGTAGCGCGACAAAATGTGCACTGTAGCTCAATGTCTCTCAAAGTAGCTCAGCTCAAATCAGCGCTGATGTAGCTCAGTGTGAATGAGGTATTAGTGTGATCTGCATTTCAATAGCTTATTTCTAGTGTAAAGGCGATACTAGTCTTTTGGACCCGGAGCAGCTTGTGTGATAGCAATTACAGTTAAAAAAAAAAAAGTTTGTAAAATATTAAATGAAATACATGTAAAAATAAAATTAAAAAAATGTTTTTAAAGTCCGCCGTGCGTCTTCACGTAAACACGAGTCGGGTACGGTTACGTATGAAAACGACGATCGCGCTACACATGTTGGGTGTCGCAGAGCACGCCGGAGTGAGAGCAATAATTCTAAGGCCAATATTTATGTGCATCTGTAAACGGATGACCTGTGGGGGCCTTTAAAGCGTCATCTATGGACTTTTTGGAGTACTGAATTTTGTTGTAGTTTCACAGACGCACATAATTTTTAACCTGGGCATGTTGGGTATCTATTTACTCGTTGTAACCTCATCTTTTATAAAAAATGATACATACACTAACTCTACTCACTTGGAATTCTGTATCTTCTGCTGTCTTCGCAGTTCCTCTACCTTTTTGGCTTTCTCTGCATTTTGCTCTTCCACCAGCTTCCGATGGGCCTGGACTCTCTTGTCCCTTTTTCTGACAAACGCCACCAGCTCTCGGACCAGCTCGTTCCTCTCTTTCCGGGCCTTGTCCCGGGTTTTCTTGTTTTCCTTCTCCATGGCCCTTTTCTCCCAGCGATTGGAGGCCTGCCGGGTGTCATACTCCTCTTTCCAGGCAAAGTTCTTTACCGTGCAGAAGCTCTGCCAGTAAGCATAAAAGGCGTGCACTACCTGTAAGGAAATACAATAATAAATGTACTGAAGTCTAAACAAAATGACATTGTTTCCCGATGGGAAACTTCAGCTAACCAGCCATTTATTTAACACAGCCAGAAAAGTTAAGAAAATGTAAACATTTTACACTGCATCATTTTTCTTGTTCCTGCTTTTCCTCAAATACTCCGGAATTCTCAGCGTTTTACCAGTTCAAAATCCATTGCAGTAAAGAACATCACTGGCACACCCCTAAATGTTCATCTAGATCAGGGGTAGGCACTACATCTGTGGAGAAACTACAAATCCCTGCATGCTTCTGCCACTGGGAGATATTCTGTTGCTGTCAGAGTCTTGCAATGCCTCCTGGGACTTGTAGTTCCACAACAGCTGAAGTGCTGAGGTCCCCTGATCTAAGTCAGAATATTCATAAGGTCCCCTATAGCAGGGACAGAGGTAAATGCTTCAGCTTTCTCTGTAAAGAGCCATGTAGATTATACAGGGACAACTACCTGGAGTTGGACTTTAAAGCAATGGTGGGTCTAACATGCTGTTAAAGCAAGTTAATGTCAAGTCACCTTTAAAGCTCAACCCTGGGCAGATATAAAAAGACACAAATAATGCAGTTCTGTAATCAATTCATCAGTAAATGCATTTTTATGCAGTGAATAAGACTTGGAATTTGCCTCTTGCAATCCCTGTACAGTAGAGCTCAGACCGGGAGATGGAGAAGCAGCACAAGCTTCAATTTAGTTGTGCCACTATGCTGTGTCATGTGGTACTGAGAGAAATTAGACTGTGGGATGCGCTCATCGGTGTTATGCTTCACCTTTCACTGTCCAGTGACAGACCGTGGAAGGGACGAAGTAAAGTGAACTTCAGCAAAGAAAAATGTCGGGTCTCCTTCCCTGCTAGGCACGGCTGTATAAATCTCAGAAGTGGATGCACAGAACCTTTGGGGGGTAAAGCAGCTCCCATATAGATATTGAATCTGTGTATTAAGAGATTTGCGTGAAGTTAAAAGGAAAACAGGCATGAGTCAAATACAGTGGCTGCAATAGCAAACTTCTCTATATGAAGATGCTACTAGCTCGGCTATCATTCTTGCTCTCTTTCATCAATACTTTAAAAGGAGAACTATGGGGTCAGTGTTTTTCCCCATAGTTCTCCTTAGGGTAACGGGAGGACACAAACTAGCGTCCTCCCGTTACCCTAAGCTCAGTATACCGCGAGCTACAGCTGGGGGCCAGAGTGGATCCCGACTTAGATGACGGGATCCGCCCAGCTGCGTGAGTGACAGCTGGCTCTGCCTACCTAGAGGCAGAGCCAGCTGAACCCGCCCCCTCCCCCGTCCATTCCGCCAGTCAGCGCTGGCAGATCGGAGCGGGGAGAGGGGAATCCAGCCCCTCCCCCTGTCACGGCAGAGAGCCGTGACAGGATCGAGAGGCAAGCGAACCCGGTATGTGTTCGCTCACCTCCCGATCTACTGAGCCGACCTGTGACAGTCTCATTGTCACAGGTCGGCTAGAACTATGAGGTGAGTGAAAAGCACTCACCTCATAGTTCTCCTTTAACTTGCTAATCCCAAACAAGCAGGCAGATAAGAACGTCCGATATTTCTGACTTGAATACTTCTACAAGGAAAGTGACTCTAAAGCCAATCGGAGGGTATGACAACCAGATAAGCTACAGTGGGAAGAACGCCAACTTTATTTCAAAGCATGATATCCATTCTCACTACATGGAAGAGGCCCTCCACATCCATGATTATTTAAGTGGAAGAGTTTAATTCAGCATTACTTTGTGTCAACTTCCATATTCCTCTGGGGGCTCTCCACCATTATTTGATAAGATCTGGGTCCCATGGTCTCCCTCACCACTTGCAGCTACACCCCCAGTGTCCAATAAAGCAGAACTGTAATCTTACTTATTTATCGTGTATGCAACTGTTGTAATCCTATGCCCTCTGACTCAGGGTAAGTTCTCCAATCAGTAAACACAAACATTCCCCCGTTACCTTCCATGTTCCTAATGTCTCAAGAAATAAATGGACACTAGGGAAACTACTCTGTACACTTTTATGTATCCATTAATGCAGAAGGCTTGGAGTTTAAGTGATAGCCAAAAAAAGATAACTTACATTTTAAAGGATGCAATCTTCTGGGATTAATTAGATCCTTTTGCCAGGCTTTATATGGATAAAGGGATCCAAGGAATCCTGAAAGACTGTATCTTTAATAAAAGTTCAACTTTTTAAGGTTAGCCAATAAAGGGGAGAATAAATGTCAGTCAAAGTACCGCAGCGCTGAATACTGAAAAATGGCCTGGATGGGAAGGGGGTTTAACACCGCGGATGTCAACTGGTTAAACTACAAACTTCCAATAATGGATGGCAAACATGGTACAATACACTACTACTGCTATGTGCCCATTAACGAAAGACTTAGTTCATACCACAGCATTGCATTAATCGCACCGTACCTTACAATTAATGTATACTATCGCACAGCGCACCTAGTGAGCATTACCATGCGATAGGTGTGTTGTGTTGCCATTCAGTTGAATGGCAGCCCAATGCACCTCCCGGCCACCCAGCACTGCAGCACAAACACGCAGTACATGTACTACTTCTTTACACCGCAAATGCATAGTATTGCATTGATGCATGTTGCACAGCAGTCGGGAGGTGCATTGGGCTGCCATTCAAATGAATGGCAACGCAATGCACCTAGCAAATAGTAATGCATGCTAGGTGCACGGTGTGATTAATGCAACGCTGTGGCTGAGCATGCCCTAGGGGCTTCATTTAGAAAACTGTATGAATTTCCTATACATGTCAGCACCATCTAGATTCTAGGAGCATTAGTGCCATGCAAATGTCATCTGCCCGGCTATATGCTGCAGTCATTCAAGAATGTCTGGAAATGGAGTATGAACTGTCTGCAGATATTCATCCCACTTCCACCATACGCAGGAATACTTGCATAGGTCCCTGTAGGATGGAGATACTGCTGAGAATTGTGGCATCGGCTTACCTCAGGAGGAATATCAACAGTTACATTAGGTTTTGTTACCTGTATGATTACTTCCTCTACTAAGATGTATTAGAAAAGACTTTCTGAAGCTGCCAATGACATGAGATTGTCTGTTGACCAGGCCAAGATTAGCCTATGGTCATTCTATGCCTCTGGACACTCAGTTATCCCTGTAAACACCCTTATCCTCACCCCAGCATTGTATTAGGGTGAGGATGAGCAGTGTGTGGTCAGTCAAAGCCTTAGAAAAACTAAAGCGGAATAAATAGGAACACAGTACCGTGTCATAGTCACTCTGGGAGTCTCCAAACGATGGGTATTCCTCTGCTTCCTCCATATTGATCTTACTTTCCATTTCCTCCTTCACAATCATCTCAAAGACTCGACGGTATACGGCATAGAAGCCCTGGGAGGAGAAGGCATCACACCGTTATTTGCTGGAACACAGGACAGCTGTCATATGACATACATTAAAGCAAATAAAGTCCTGCATCTTCCATCAGAACCACAAATTTGTAACTACCCGGCTCTACAGGGAGAACCTGGAGTTCTATGTATCGTTTTCATAAGTTTATCAAATTTTAGCTATCAATGGGATATGTGAAATTAAGCAAATATGTGATGTATGATGGGAAACATCAGAAAGGCAGAATAACAAATCTATCATAGGAAGAAAAAGAGGTTTAAAAAGAAATGCTCATCCAGCAGCTTCACATGCAACTAACGGTTCCTAAGGAGTAAAAGATACCGTCGCTAAGTGGCACATTGCTGATTCCCACCCGAGAGTCGCTTTTCTGGCTCTCTAACATGGCACAAATTAGTCTTAGCCTTTCAACCTCCAAAGTGATACATTAAGACATCGTACAGGTTAAAAACTGTAAAACTTAACCTACTTCTATACCTGTGAAAGTCTCGGCATCCACCTCTGAATAGACAAGAAAATCTGGGGTAGCTGGTGCCTAATGGAGGGGTTCAGTTCATGGATGAAATACAAGTTTAATGTCCAACCTTCCAAAGGCTGACAAGATACCTCAGGGGCCTGCTATGTCTCTTAATGAATGATGATGTTTAGTTCACATAGGAAAGAGACTTCTAATATACATACTGAAGAAGGGAAAATAAAAAAGACTACATATAAGGCTTGTTATATTCCCTTTAGAGAAGTTAAAATTGAATCTAAACTGAAAAATAGAAAAATGCCCCAATATTAGCCAATCCTCTTTCACATACACTGAGGGACTCACTTTTGCAATAAAGGCTTTTTCTTGTGCAATGTTTACCTATTGAGCCTGTCAGTTAAGCACTTCCTGCCCTGGGGAGGGACCATGCAAATGTCATCTGCCCGGCTATATGCTGCAGTCATTCAAGAATGTCTGGAAATGGAGTATGAACTGTCTGCAGATATTCATCCCACTTCCACCATACGCAGGAATACTTGCATAGGTCCCTGTAGGATGGAGATACTGCTGAGAATTGTGGCATCGGCTTACCTCAGGAGGAATATCAACAGTTACATTAGGTTTTGTTACCTGTATGATTACTTCCTCTACTAAGATGTATTAGAAAAGACTTTCTGAAGCTGCCAATGACATGAGATTGTCTGTTGACCAGGCCAAGATTAGCCTATGGTCATTCTATGCCTCTGGACACTCAGTTATCCCTGTAAACACCCTTATCCTCACCCCAGCATTGTATTAGGGTGAGGATGAGCAGTGTGTGGTCAGTCAAAGCCTTAGAAAAACTAAAGCGGAATAAATAGGAACACAGTACCGTGTCATAGTCACTCTGGGAGTCTCCAAACGATGGGTATTCCTCTGCTTCCTCCATATTGATCTTACTTTCCATTTCCTCCTTCACAATCATCTCAAAGACTCGACGGTATACGGCATAGAAGCCCTGGGAGGAGAAGGCATCACACCGTTATTTGCTGGAACACAGGACAGCTGTCATATGACATACATTAAAGCAAATAAAGTCCTGCATCTTCCATCAGAACCACAAATTTGTAACTACCCGGCTCTACAGGGAGAACCTGGAGTTCTATGTATCGTTTTCATAAGTTTATCAAATTTTAGCTATCAATGGGATATGTGAAATTAAGCAAATATGTGATGTATGATGGGAAACATCAGAAAGGCAGAATAACAAATCTATCATAGGAAGAAAAAGAGGTTTAAAAAGAAATGCTCATCCAGCAGCTTCACATGCAACTAACGGTTCCTAAGGAGTAAAAGATACCGTCGCTAAGTGGCACATTGCTGATTCCCACCCGAGAGTCGCTTTTCTGGCTCTCTAACATGGCACAAATTAGTCTTAGCCTTTCAACCTCCAAAGTGATACATTAAGACATCGTACAGGTTAAAAACTGTAAAACTTAACCTACTTCTATACCTGTGAAAGTCTCGGCATCCACCTCTGAATAGACAAGAAAATCTGGGGGAGCTGGGGCCTAATGGAGGGGGTCCGTTCA